AGCATCAACTTCCGTCTGTTTCTCCTAAGAAATTAGACTCTTCTTTTTTTATTACATTCCTACAGAGATTGCTTCATCCTTTTCTTAAATGAATCCTCACATATATTCATTTAGCAAGTAAAGCAACATGATCCCATGAAAGGAACAGAAGGGATTTCTCCTAAGCTAGAATTGAATCTTTTAGGGTTTTACAAAACTTACTCTAGCTCAGATTTTTTTGATATATAGAGGTTTTCATAGGAACTACAACACCAAGCCACTTCAGAAGATTAAATTAATTTTTAAAATTAAATATAAATGCCAAAATCAGCTCTGTAGTGGAACATAAGCACTGCAAAGTTTTGGTATCTTCTAAAAATGCACTGCAGTCCTTCGCAAGTTCCATTCTCCCTTCCCTAGGATACTATCCAATCCACATTAAACTTAAATTCAGTAAACAGATGAAAAATTAAATAGAACGAATTTAATCTCTAATGAGTTGCTCCTGGTAGAATGCATAAAGGAAAAGGTTATAGCTTCATAAGTAAGGCAACTCATGGTCTAGAAATTTCTGCACAGTTTGCTGCTTTATGGACACGAGCAAATATTCTATCTACATTGCTATCTAAACTCAAATTGCAATCTGTTTCTGTTTAGTCTGAGTAGGCAGTAACTTACCTATGTGTTCCTCTGGTTCTAGGAAAGGCCTGTGTGGAAATATGGAAAGAAAAACTCAGCTTTAGCAAAAACATCATTAATTACTTGGTAGTGTAACATTACAGAGAGCACATTCCTGTTTAAGACAAACAGTCTGTAATGTAGCCATTTAAAAATTAAAATTAATTTTACTTAATTTAAGTACAAAACTGAATTGGACAGACTAGTGCAAGAGAGTGAGCAAATAACCTTTTGATAATAAACGAGATCCCTGACTTGTTTTCCAAAATCCATTTCAGGGTTGAAACATCGTAATTTGCTGGATTTTTAAACGCAAGTCCTTTGGGCAGGCCCTGCACTATCACAGCAGACTGGTCCCTCTGAATCTTCTCATATGGCACAGGTACCATCGTTGACTTTCCTAAAGCTTCACCTAGAAAAAAAAATAGAGATTGTTTTGAGGTCAAGATTGCTCAAGTTAGCAAAAGAATGAGTCTCTCTCCTTGTAACTTTGGAGAGGACTGGAGCAAAAGCAAAGTGCAGATGCAAATCTTCTCAGAAACCAAGTGCTGCTGGTATTAACATGGCACTGGGTAATAATCTGAAATCACATCCCACAAAACACATCAAGAAGCAAATTAACCACTACATGTATAGTTTTTAGAAACAGCTACTAAAAGTTTCTAAAAACAGTAGTGTAGTTGGAAGGCTAAGATTGTGCAGTTTCTTCCTCCCAGCTGGAATAGAAACTTAGAAACCTAGAACAGCTCTTCAGAAAATTTTAAAGCACTCACCATAGCAAAAGCAGAAAAAGTCCTCCACAGACTTTCTAAGAGTCTCCAGGTCTACAACATCTCCTGTCAGATTGTTTACCCCTGTTTCAGCTGGTGTAGTCTTCGTTTTCTGCAGTTCTGCAGCCCTGTCCTCTTCTGTAACACCTGGCAGTTATTTATAAAAAATAGACAAAAATAAAATAATAAAGTAATAAAATAGGAAGTTATTCAAACTGCCAGTACCTAGTCCCTCCAGTTTATACTAGAGATGCTCAGGAAGGATTCCTGCCAGAAAATCCTAAGATCTTAATTGCCTTAGAAGCAAATGCACATATCTATGTACATAAGCAATGAGCAAACTTGAATTTACACCAGAATAACTATATTCTCCTTACAACCTTTGTAAATATCACCCTCTGAGGATTAAGAATGATGAATTAAGAGACACGTCCAAGGAGACCTTTTTTTGGCATGAAGAAGTAGAAAACACAGTCTCAGGAGAAGATAACACAGTAAAAATAAAATGCAAAACTGCCAAGAAAAGAAGGACCAACGGAGTCACCAGGGAAAAGGTAAAATGCCAGTGTGGAGGGTCCCATAGCTCTCTACTGCTGTGCACGACATCTTATGCAGCAATTCTGTTACATTCTGGTTTGTTTATGCTGTATGTGCTTCGCTGAAGTTTTTATAGAAGGCATCTGAGTTCTGCCACAACAGCTCGTCTCCTTCAAAGGATATTTTAAGTACACGCCTCTTACTGCCAAATAGGAGGAGTTGGAAACAAACCATCATCATGCAGAACAGAGAGGATTTCAGCCCTACATCTGGTTCTAGCCTCTGAGCAAAAGTCATTGCAAAAGGAGTGAGGGAATAACAACACTTTCAATATTAAAAAGCAAATAAAAGGGATGGCTTCAGGTGGCAGCCTTTCTTTCTCGTCGTTCAGTTCTTGCAAAGATTTACTGAGAATCATCCAGCAAACAACAGAGATATGCTTGCCTACCTGGAAGGAAAGGCAAGGAAGATCTGTGTTCCTGTGTGCAAGAGCATGATCAATGCTGATGCTGTGTCATGACTTCCCCACGAGCCAGCACAGCAGAAAGCCTGACACACTGCGATGTGCATCACCAGGACTCCTGGCATCAGAATTCTACACTGACACAAGAAAACAAACATCAGTTTGAACAACTGACTACAAATGGGCTGTGCAATGAGCTGAAGCAGCAATGCTTTTAGTAAAACCACATTTATCATCTTAAAAACTCATATCTTCATTTAAAAGAGAATCTTGTCTTTCCTCTTCAGATCACACATCTGGCTTCATGCCCTGGAAACCCACCTCCATGCAACATTGAGCTTTCCAGCTCTTGAGGTCTGAAACTTTTGCTTTCTCTGCAGTATCACAGGGCCTATCAGAACACGAAAAATAACACAGAAGTGGGATATAATTATATACCTGTAACACAGGTGCTTAACTAATGACAGTTTTTAAGACTTGCCTGTGGACTCGGGGATAAGAGACACCAGTTTCCATTTACAGCTCCATGTAATGTTGCTTTTCGAGTGGGGGTTTTTCCATGTAAGAAACTGATTCACTGAAAATGCCTTTACTGCCATCAGCTTCTCAAAAGTGTACCCACACTTTTTAAAAATAATACACAAACCAAAATTAAAATGACAACACTACCCACTTCACACTAAAATGAAAAGCAGACAGAGAGATAGAGAAATTTTCTTTCTTAACTAGAAGAGAAATCTTTATTGGATTTTTTATTACATGATTTTTATCCATTTTCTTAAGCTTACATTATGCATCTGCCTCCCTAATCTCTCCCACATTCTTTGGTCAATATTAATCAAGTCTGACAAACAAGATCGATTTTCAAGCACAGCAAGATTTGTGAGAGCCTTGCACAATTGATCAAACGTAGCAGCCATTCACTCCTCCTAGAAGCACTGAAGGACACGTGATCACTTAGAGGGTACACAACTTCTCAGGTTCTGCTGAACCCTCGCTACAATTACTGGAGCCCGCAGCAGGATTCAGGCTACGTTTGGAAGAGGGAGAGGGTGCCTGGGACATATGCAACAAGATCTAGGGGTAAAGAGGGATGAGGGGGCTGTATTTACAGGGTAAATAGCTCATGAAGGGGGAGGAATGGTTATATGTAAAAGAATAGCATTCTACACAGCTGTGAGTATACTGCAGGAGAAATCCAGTTACTCTGCAAAAACTCTTCTAGATTCAGGAGGATTACAATTCCCCAATTCCCAAGAATGCTCATTTTGCACTGAGAGTCCATATATACTTAAGTGTCTCTTATCTTCTTGTACTATCCAGGTGTGTTGGATATTCAGAATATCCTTCTCTCTGGGTCTGACAGTCCACCATACCACTTGGCTGGAAAAGGAATCTCCCAGCTATCTTCCTTCTTATAAAACAGATACAGTATAAAATGAATAGGCTGCTTTACAGGAAAAAAAAGTCCTCTTACAAGAAAGTTTATGATGGAACAAAAATATTTGAAATTATGAAATTTTAATTTGGTAATTTTTTCTTGTTGCATGTCAGCAATCGGACAGCTAAACCTTGACCTCTGTATGGGCAGATGCTATAGCTTCCTGCCTGAAGCAGTTGCTTATAATTTCATACAGCTCTCTTCATCACAGAGAACACAGTTCAGCACTTACTCTAAGGTCCACACAGTCTGAGTGCAGCAGAATAAAAGAGGCCATAAGTGTCTGTCTGCCAAGCACCTGACCCAGAGATAAGGGGGGAGTTGTGTTGGGAGAAGGCAGGCTGCATTTCTCCTGTGGAGCAGAGCATGCCTTGCTGGGTCACATTGTAGACAAGTGTCAAACCCAGCACTGTCCACATCTCACCATAGAGTAAGAAACCAAAAAAATCAAGCTTCGGCAGAAAAATGAGCTGTCAGTCCCATGGCACATAAGGCATCTTGAAACATCAGATGATTTTTAATCAGGTGGCTTTTAATCCCCCAGGTAGAGAAAGCTAAGAAGTAATCATAAGAGTTTGAATGTGACTCCTGCATAAGCACTCTGAGAGGCAACTTAAGGGCAACAATTATTTTGTGACAACACTCACATAGATATATTTTACTATGTGCTTAAGGAAAATTACTGCATGAACATAACTAAGAGCAATGAAAGAGAGAAAGTAAATGTGTGTGTGGCTAAAAGCATTTAGGTTTGGTTTAGAATGCATCCACCCAGCTTATCTGTGAGCTTTTTAAGACCACCACTGTAAAGTTCATGAAATTGGAAAATATCCTCAAAGTAAAGAAAATTAATTTTATAACTATCAAACAATCACCTAATCCACAAGAAAAGCAAATCACCTGAGGCAGAATTTAGGAGCCATAGAATTTCAAAAAGATTGTCTGTCTCCAGTAATTTTCTGTTTGTTTTCGACTCCAAGGGATCAAGATGGGTGGCTTCTGGGAAAATGGGACTGAACTTTCCCTGTAAGTTTTTAAACCGGCTGTTAACTTCATACCCCTTAGCTGGCTAGGCAGTGACAGAACATGAAAGCTTTGGGGCAATCAAGCCAAACAACCCAGTTGTACAAGCTACCCAGCTCTGAAATGACCCCAGAGAAATACCAGGGAGCTCTGAGCTAGGCAGGGCATGGCTAAAGCTAAGGATGCTGGAAAGAAAAGGCATCCGGACTAGCACATGACCCGCAAGAGCCTTTGTTCCTGACATTTCTACAGGGAAGAGAGGTAGATGATGGAAGCAGAAAAAGCACTCCCATGGAAGAGAAGCAAAATAACTTGCATCTAACTATGTAGCAGAATTTTTGAAAATGCATGCTGCTTTTCAAGAACTCGCTAAAAGGGGTGAACTGACTTGTAAAACAAGAGAAACTGCCAGTAATGTAAAACTCAGGAAAAGCAGATTAATTCACCCCTAATACCATGAGAAAGAGTTTGCAAAGGAAACTATAAGAAATGCCTGATTAGCTGGGCTGGCCATCATCCATTTAAGGTAAAGTAGTCCAGGAAGCAGGGGGAAAAAGAAAGGCCAAGTAGTAGAAAGCGGGGAGTAGTAGAAAGCAGAAAATAGCAGGCCACAAGGTCCAGCTAAATGATAGGAAAATTATTTTCATCTAGACTATTAATGCGGAATTCAGATTATGAACACATATTAATATGTGAAAAATATGCAGTACAGAAACTACATTATTTGCATTGCAAACGGTTAGGTAGAAGAGGATTGCAAGCTGAACCATTTAAGTGAGGTTAAATGGAGACAGCGATGGCAAAAAACCCACAGCTCTTACCGTAAAACAGATGGAGATGATTGCTTTGGATTTTATTATTTGCAACTGCAGCTGCTGGGTAAGTGCTACGAATATTATTTTTAAACTAACTGCTAAGCATATGATTTATTAGGAATAACCTGGTCAAATCTTTCATAGCAACATTCTGCAAATGCAAAATAGAAAGTAACTGAAACTTAAATCCAAAAAAAATTAACACAGTACAGTTAATTTATCAAGTGGCTACAACTACAACAGAAAAACTCCCCCAAAAACTAGGGGTCAGGCAAAAACAGATGCAATATATGAACTAGGCTTCAGCGTACAATGTAAATACTTTAAGAGACTGGAAAAGCAGAATTCCGAAGTGCTGGTGGCAGACACAATGTCTGTAATAAAGTGTCCTAGCTTTCCAGTAGGAACATCTGAAGCGTTATGCTTTTTATTAAATAAAGATATTCCATAAGCTGTAGCAATCAGGGCACTCCAGACATCTTTGTACCACCCTGGGGAGATAGGGACCCCCAGAACTAACTCTCAGTGCTAAGGTTTTACAGTCATACAGAGGCCTGAGCACAAGAGCAGAAGTAGGAAAGAAAGCAGGAAAGAAAAAGTCAGCAGTTACCTTGCCCACACCTCTCCCAAGAAAATGGATTAGGAAACGGTTCCCTATTTAATCCCAAGCAGAGACAGGCAGGTTAGCATTAACTCATCACTAAACAGGCACGATGCAACCTGGTCATGTAAAAAGGACAAGAGAACAGTAACATAATCCCTTCCACCACCAGAGATGCCAGCTCTCAACTACCAAGTGACAGACATGGTAGGAGTAAATACATCATGCTTGCCAGCACAGTTAGTTGGGACAATGGTCATAAGCTAC